CATTTCTTATCTCTAGGTGGTAATGAGGTGAATGGCTCTTTTTCTCCTGTATATTTTTCTGTGTTTTCCAGTTTGGGGGAAGAATATACGGAAAATGCATTTGTAAATGTAACATTAAATGAGATATAAACTCCAGATGCAATTAAGGGAAAGATAGACAGATACAACTACAGAAAAAAAAATTAAATTCTACCCAGTAAAGCACACCAGGTGGATTAGAGTTTTCCATTTTCTACACTGAATAATTATTTCTTTTAGGATAGTGAAAATAACTTCATAACAACATAGTCAATCTTGTAAATCCAGCTGCATCTGAGTAATGCTTAAGATTCTTTGGCAACAGCAGGTTACCTTTGTAGGAGCCATTTCTGTGAATTGAAATATAAATGCGAAGGGAAGAAGAGGGAGTAAATACAAATTATTCCTTCAAGTACTTTGGTTGAGGGAGCAAGAGGCTTGCTTTCTTTGACATTCTACAATCCTTCTAGTGTAGACCAGTGTTTATCAAGCTTGGCTGCACAATAAAATCACAAAAGAAGCTTAAAAATAATACCGATGCAGGGGACCCTCACTTGGAGATTACAATTCAGTAGCTTACCTGAATTGTCCAGGTGATTTGAATGAAAGGTGTTTCCATTCCTTTTTACTGTATTCCTTGAGAAGTTAAATTCCTTATCCGTAATAGCTTCATATATACGTATGGGAAACACTGGGCACATAGTAGGACCTCAATAAACAGTTACTGATTGATGGACACAGACTCTTTCTAGGAGCTGCAGTGCATGCCCTCACAGAAGAAATCTTCTTAAAGAAATCTTCTCCTTAGGTCAGAGGGTGATTCAGTTTCAGAAGGCACCAGCCAGGAATGAGGGGGCCCTCAGTCCATGGCTTCCCTGGGGGCACTGAGTACCTCTATCAACCTTTCAAAACTGAAGTCACTCACTGGTGAATCTATGGCTGATCTTCTTAGGGACAAACTAGTTAGGGTAAAATCTCACTATAGTGTCAGTGCTGATTATTTAAGCTGTTCCAATAACAGCATTTGGGATTGGCTAAGTGACCAAAGTCATTGAATTTGAAGCAGAAGGAAAAGCAGTATTTTATGCCAATAAATATTTACAACATCTTAGGTGTTTTGTATATTCTCAGACCTTGCAAAAATGAATGAAAACTATTTGTGCATGCAATGGTGAAGATGAATCTCACAACATAATGCTAAGTATTAGTACCCCCATCCTATATATTAAGAAGCTGAGGTTCAGAGAGTTTGGCAACTTGCATCTAGACAGGTAGCAATTGATGAGAAGAAGTTTGAACTCTTGTCTATTTGACCTTAGTATCTGTAAACCCTCCACATCTTCAAAATGTGACGTTAGGTCATATAAATGATAGTAAAGGGTATTTGTACCCAGATTTCCTTTTATACTCTAGTAAGATTTCTATATTGTCAACAAGTGAGTGGAGAAAAGACATTCATTGAAATAAGGAGTGCTGAAACAGGAAATTTTTAAATATTTGATGGTCTCTGTCAAGCATTTGGAAAATAAATTAGATTGTGGTCTTTCTGGAATAGTTAGTGGAAAGATAGACGGGAGAGGTTCATTAGTGGCTTTTAAGCGCTTTTAAGTCAACTAATTTCATGAAAAAGAAAACCACACATAACTACATTAGCACTTATGTTTACAGGAATTTTCAATGAGGAAATTGTACCGGGGTATCCAAGGTCCAAGGCAAGGTTCTTTGACGGGCTGTTGCCAAGAGCTGTCGGTGCGAGCTCAAGGCAAGTCATCGCCTCTCGCTGGGTCTCAATAAACAGGGCATTTAACTAAATTTAAATTTAGATATTTTAGATATCTAGATATTTTATTGATCTAGCATAAGCTTTGGATCCTTTCCCAGGATGATTACACATAGAACCACAACTGTGAATGCCAGTTCTGGCTGTACATTGGAACTTTAATCATTTCACGTGAAAATGTATTTTAAAAGAATTCTTCATATGAGAAGACCAAAATACTACTGCAAATGACTTTTAGTGGCATGTAAAATACTTGGCTAGGATGTTAAGCAAAATGGGAGGATGGAAAACAGTACACAAGCATGATGGTTCCATGTGGGTGTTGAGAGCTTGCTTTCCTGAGCCACACCCCAGGCTCTCTGTCCTGGCTGTCACTCACCTTGTTACTTGACCTTGGGTGAGTTGCCTTGCCTTGCTGAGTTTCTGCTTCCTGATCCATGAAATGGAAAACAGAGTGCAGTCTCCCTTATAGGGTTATTGTTAAAAGTAACATTATGTCTCACATATCATAAGCATTTAGTGGATATTCATCATTGTTTGCTCAACTAAGTAAATATATAAATAGATTGAAAAAGACATATGAGCTAGATCAAAATATTATCAGCAGTTGTGTCTGGATTATGACCAATGTGTGATTTTTTTTTCCTTATTTTTCTTTGGACTTTTCAATTTCTTTTTTTTTTTTTAAATCAATACTGGACTTTTCAATTTTTACTAAGAATATTTGCTATGGGCCTCCCTGGTGGTACAAGGTGTTAAGCACAGCACTGTGAAGCATGAGTTTGATCCTCAGCCAGGGAGCAACCCACATGGCACAGCAGACCTCTCCTGTCTCGCCCACTGCTCCCCTCAGTAGTGTGTTTCAGTAGATCCGCCTGTTCTGCTCCCCACTCTGTTTCTGGTGAATCCTCTCACTCCTGCACCTCTGGCCTGTACCTCAGTTCTTGGGAAAAAAAGAATATTTGCTACTTTTATAATTAGAAGGAAAAGGTGTGTGTTAAAAAGCAATTTTGAAAATCTTTTTTGAGGGTGTCATGCCAAAGGGGTCTGATGCATGTCTATCCCATGTGGTATTTTGTCAAACCAACAACTTCAGAGGAGTATAAGGCGGGGTGACTACTACGGTCTTATTCACATTTTCCTCATTAGGTCTCATGAGTTTGAAGAAGAACTTTCAAATGAGGTGTTTTGGGTGCAGACTGGCTACAGCCTCCCTCTGTTCTGCTTCAAGCCATCCTGCCCCCTTGCCACACACCCCTCCGTACCAGCAGTTAGCCTTTCTATGGGGCCCGCCCCTGTGAGAACTACAAATGCCTTGTCAATGCACACTGTTTTGCATTCAGTTTTCTGGGATTCATGGCCCCTTCCCATGGAAATTTCTACTGATCAAGAATATCCAAGCCATGACAACAAATTTATGAGTGTACAGACCCACTTCAGTTGTGTAGACCAATTTAAGAAAACGGATATATACAAAACCGAAACCTTTATAAGCCAGATGATTCCATGCAACATTATGGATACTACGTTTGAAGATTCTGCTTTGTCAGGGAACTGACATTAGTATCTCTATGAACAGCAAACCCATAGTGTTTTCAAACCACACTGCTTTCTACTCAAATGCTACACTCTGTCAGAACACACCCAGTGCGGAGCAACTTGCTCAATTCAAAAAGTTCAATACCTGATTCACTCTGGAATTTAGCTACATTCATTTACAGTATTCCAGGTCACCCCTGACCTGGAAGTGGCCATCATGTGTATCACTCAGTTGACTGATGGTTAATGATGGACAATGAAAAGACATCCAGAAACTTCTGGTCAGATACCTATGGGTTGTGAGATTGCTTGGAAACAGACCATTTGTGGTGAGATGGAGCCTTCCCCAAGCACGGAAGGAAAAGAATGGACATTGATGGTGTCCCTACACTACGCTGGGTAGATTAGGTCATCTTGCACAGCTCCTCACGGTACATCTGGAAGGTGGTGCTTTTGCCCGCCCTCCCTACTGAGTTTTGGGAAAGTTGATACATGTGCCCCAGGTCAGATAATTATCAGAAAAATGAAATAAAAAAATAATGCAAATCTTCCTGCCTTAGATGGCCATCGTTGAGGTTGACCTTCAAAGGCTGCGAAATGCATAGTGCCTAAATTCACGTAAACTGAGAGTCATTTTAGCTGTGATTTTGATCCTGCTGATTTCTCAGTGGCTTCTAGGGATATGAAAGAAGGGAGACAGGACTGAACTTCTGCTGGCCCATTCCCTCGACTTCCAAACTGGTATCCCCCCTTCTTCCAGTCCCACACAAGGACTGCCCCGCATTCCAAAGATGCCTGGGGAACGCACAAGGAGATCTATAGAAAGAGCCAGGAGTCCGCATTTTAACAAATCCATACAACTACAAACTCCATCTTATGGTTTCCACTCCTGGCTGAGATGCCATTTGGCACCACACTGCTAGCTGCCGCGTTTGACTTGATCCTCTTCCAAGATTTCCAAACATGTGCCTGGCACCCACGAGAGTTTCAGAGGAAGTGTAATAGTGACAGAAGTGCTGCGGGGTTGGTTTGGCGTATGTGAGCGAGTGGAACTCTCATCAAAGCAAGTGTAAGTTCTTTGAGTATTAACTTCCACAAAAGGAACATCAACTTTCCCCGCGAACGTGCCTTTTCCTTTTGCTTAGTTTTTTTTTCTTTTTGGAAATGAGCGGCCCCCGAAGTTAGGCATGAACCCTATTAAGCAAAGGCTCTCTGAGACCCCTGGATAGACACAACCCTCTGTGGCCCGCAAGTGAGTGCCCTTGCTTTTCTGGAGGATTAGCCCCGGCTGCCTCGCCCTCGCCTTCAGCAAGCGCTTCCTGCGCCTCTGGGCACAAGCAGGTTCAAAGCACAGAACCACCAAACCACCATCACCCCAGAAAGCGATCTCTGAACCCGGAGTCAGTGTGGACAGCGTGTGCTCGCAGGCTAGAAGCCCAGCGAAGCTTCGGGTCTGTGTGGACAGGAGGCTGGGGCCCCGGGGCCGTGGTCTGGCATCACGAGCACTCACGTCTCAAGGGAGAGCGAGTCCTTGAGCCTGGTGGAACCAGAGACACGTCTCGGGCTCTCGCGCCAGCGCCAGGTCAGAGGAGACAAAGGTGGACGGAGAAAGGAAGAGAAGGACAGTGAGTTTGTGTTCTCTCGGGGCAAGTGCGCGCGGTACCTTGGATTCCTGGCTGCCGGTGGATGCAGGAGAGGGCGGCTGCTCGGCGCTCGCCGCCTCCTTGGGCAGCCCGTCCACGCCGTCCTCGCGGGCGCCGCTCGGAGGGATCATCCTGGCGGCGCGGGAACGGTGTTGGGCTCCCGGAGGAACAGCGAGGCTCGCCTTCCTCGGGCGCGCCCTCCCCGCCGCGCGCTGGTCGCTCAGCTCCGGGTCCCGGGGATTCCCATCTGCACCCAGGCGCCCGGGCGCCCTCCCCCGGCCTCGCCCCCGCCCGGCCCTGCCCACCGCCCCGCCACTCCCGCGGGCAGCGGGAGAGCGCGCCCCGCCCCGCCGCGCCCGCCGAGCCCGCGGCCACCTCGCCGGCCACCGCACAGTCGTGACAACCACCCGGCAGCGGGCTCGCCCGCCTGAGCAGGGGGGAGGCGGGGAGGCGGCTCCGGGGCGGGGCTGCGCGGCCCGCGCCGGGAGTAGCGTGGGCAGAGGCCGGGGGCCGCGCCCGCAAAGCCCTGGGCTGGAGGCCGGGCGCGCACCGCTCGGGCTTGGGGTGGGATGCCCTAGGAGGGATAGTGAACCTTCAGACCCCAACTCGAATGAGTGGGCAACCCAGGTAGGAGTCAGCCTTGGGGGGACCACCTGCTCTAACTCCCCCATTCCGCAGAAACGTGGAAAGGCGACTTGGCTAAGTTATTTATAGGGTTCATGATGGAAAGCAGCGTCCAGAGCTGGGGTCCTTGGATTTGAGGGCGTTCGGCTTTGGACCAAAGAGATAGTGAGTGGACTGTCTATCTGCCCTCATTTTGTGGTGCTTTTGTGCGCTAAGCACTTTACACTTATTTAATTGCATCCATTTTATAGATGGGGAAACTGAAGCTTTGGGGAGGCTAAATAATATGCTTTGCGTCATGAGCTACAAATGGTGGAGCTGGGATGGAAACCCATTCTGGCTTCCAAATTCAGGTTTTGGGAGCCTCAAATCTAGGCCAGATCTTTCGAGTTGAAGAACAAGTGGGCGTTGCTCTGCAGCAAGGAGTTCCGGTGGCTTTAGTGGGTCATTTGGAAACATAAGAGAGGAGGGATGTTGGATAAAATGGGCCAAGTATCCAGTATGTTTTGAAGATGCAGCCTCATGGGAAGAGAAAGGAAATACATTGGGATATTTAAATGCCTTTTTTTTTTTTTCAAGAATACATGACTCTCTCTTTAGTTTTCTAGTAGAAAATTGTTACCTGATGTTTAACTGTAAATATTTGCAAGGTCAACTTCATGGGTATGCTACTTATTCAGTCACCCAGGGCTCTGAACCAGGGGTCCTGCATTTTCGTTTTGTACCAAATCCTGTGAATTATGTCTCTGTTCCTGCAGGTTCGCCCTAGCTCAAGTCCTTTGGAAAGAACTTATCACTCTGTTCATTCTGGACATCAGTTGAAAGTTGCAGTTTTAAATGACAGCCTCTTCCTAGGCTCTCAGCGTGCTCCCAATACCCTGTGACTCTTTACTGCTCATTTACCCAGGCCAGAATGGCCAACCCAGATGGACACACAAAAAATACTAATTGCTTGATGGAGACTAAGTTCTAATAGAGTCAGCACAGGAGCCGGAATAGTCTTTATCAGCTGTCTAGTCTGTGCCAGACATTACTGATGATGCAGCAGAGAGAAAACATAGATAAGTCTGTTCTCCTGGAATTTAGAGCTTGATGAGAGAGACCAAGATTAATTAAACATCATGCACACACACACACATTTTGCATGGAGAAAAAAAGGAAAAGTACAGGTTTACAACAGAATTTTTCATCTTTGGATTTTATTTTATTTTTTTAAGAATTAGAGAACAATTTTAAAATGTTACCCTCCATTTTAGTGAATGCTTAGCACTTATCAATGATAATCATTAGCCAATAACAATTTTAATTGTTGTCTTCCTGAAGGAACTTTTGAGCAGCCTTCCTCCTGCTCCAGCCCTGTCCTAGTAACAGAAATCCTGGGTATGATACATAACGACTACCTTTCCTAGGAAGTTGTGGAGTTATCTGTAGTTTCCCAAATGAATCAAGTATTTGTTCACTTATTTCTTTCCCATACTTGTTTTTACATCTTATTTTTTTTGGCTAGATAATTTCTTTTATTCTTCAAAACGCACTCTTAACATTTATTTCTCTCGATATTTCCTTCTTGAAATTTTCTTCCTTGGTTGCTCTAGTGTGATTTAGAGTCCCAAGCCAGTGTCTCTTATTGCTGCATCCTTCTTTAAGTGACCATGGACAATGAGCTCCATTAAGGCTGGTACCATATTGTGTTCGTCTTGTTTTCTCAGCCCCTGGCACACTGTTTGTTAACAAGACTGTAAAAGAAGGTTACATTATTGCTCCCTGATCTTTCAGATGAACTTGGCATTAGTTACTCCAAGTGCTCTCCATCTACTGGATAGAAAGACCCTGGATGCTTCTAGAAAATAGTGAGATTTAAAATCAACCAATCTTTTGATATTGAGGACTTTGTACTTATTGGTTTAAGAGAGGATCTTAAATATGAGAGACATGACTCTCTGAATGTGGAGATCATTGGTTTGAGGGAAGGTAAGGGGTCTGCAAAAAGGAAATTAGATGCACAGTTCATCTCTGGGAACTGGATGGAGCTAGACAGAGTGCCCTTTGCCTGAACTTGTGGGGTAAGAGCAGCTGGCAAAAATTGATCGCACTGTATTTGTGTAGGACTTGGATTTTAGGCACTGCTGCTTAGGGATTTGCCTGATTCAAGTTCTGGAGTGGTAAGAGTCCTCCCATAGTATCATGCAAGCCAGCCCTGACCTAGTACTGAAGGAAAATTGATATATTGATAGTGATGCCCAGAGGAAAGTATACTGGAGGTCAATGGATGATATATGGTGATTCTTAGAGGACATCTGATTAAGTGTTGATATCTCTGAGCTGAAGTGTACTTTTTCATGTCCCTTGTGAGATAAACTCTTTGGACTCCCAGTACTTGATTCACAGATTCGAAGCCTCACAGACCAGAGATCCTGAGTTAGGAGCTGCAGTGCCATCTTAACTATGATGGTTGTTGAGACCTGCTGTAGACTGGTGAAGCCCGCAGAAATTAGGTTGCCAATAATTATCCTGTCTCGAGTCAGTAGAAGGGTTCTGTGATTTTGGCAGATTCCCTTCATGGTCTATTGCACCCTGGCTGCTGGTTAAATATCAAGTCAGAGGATAGGTGAGGTATGCAGAAATTTATCTCCACACACTTGAAGTGCTGGCTCATTTACTCATTCATTAATTTGTCAAGAGGGCAAGCCCTCCTCCTAATCTTATGCAATGGCCTTTTGCAGTACCACTGCTGAGCTGCTTTCGCTATCCTCCCATTGCTCTGTTACAAGTTTCAATAAAGAGACTGGGCTTTTAATTTGTTGACTTGGACTTCTACAGCCATTTGGTAAAAAGATACTGCTTAAATAAAGCAGCCATATTATGAAGGGTAGTACAATAAGGGAAAGGAAAGGAGGAGGAAAAGGAATCAGTATGTCCAGGGGATAGAGAACTGACAAGGAGAAATGTGAGAGGGTCTCAATAGAGGGCTGGGTCTCAATGTCTGTTATGTCTGTCATCTGGGTAATAAGATACAGAAGGGCCTAGAGTCTAGCAATTGGATTGTTGATGATAATAAGAACTAACGTGTATTGGGCTTCTACTTTGGCTAAGTCATGGATATTTCCTATGTGCTATTTCATTTAATTGCTATAAATTGCTATATGAACAAGGTAAAGAAAATTATCCTAAGTTTCACAGAGAATATGGGAGCCAGAACTCAAACTCAGCTATACCCTCCTGGACCAAATTTTGGCCACTCCGCTCTGCTGCTCTCTAGACAATGGCAGAGCCTGTACCTGGTGAGGAGGCCGCAGCCCTCAAAGAATAAATGTACATTGAGAGTCAGAGGCATGAGAGAAGACACTGGGAGAGTCCTCAAAGAATGAAGATTTGCACACTCCATTTTTTTCCCCTTGAAAGTGAATGATGATCAGATCTACACTTTGAAGGAGACAGCCCAAGATTCAAGACAAAGTAGGGGGCACAGCTGTTGCCAGTGGATCTGTAAAGGCGCAGTGGGAATTCCAGCAACTGTTGTCACCCGCTCATTACCTTGCCTGGGGGACCTGCATTCAAGTCCAAAACACCAAATGCTTGACACAAAGTCTTGCAGCTAACAACATCAGCCTCTACTTTGAGCAACTGCAAAGGTCAGGCTGCAGCCCTCACAGCAAACTCATGATTGGTCTCTTTTTAGCATCAAAGTCAATACTTTCAAGATTCATATTGTCAGGGAGCCTGAGATCTGGCTTAAGTATTCTTTTTTTTTTTTTTTTTGATGTTTTTTATTTTTTATTTTTATTTATTTATTTATTTTTTTAATCTTAAATTTTATTTTTATATTCCCCCATACAATTGCAAACACCCCATTCTGACCCCAATCCTTCCCCTCCCGCCCCCCACCCCCCAAAAAGTGTCTCTGGTTCATAGTTTTTTGTTGATTTTGATTTTCACTTTCTTATAGTTATTCATTTTCCTGGTCCCTTATTTAAGTTTTCTAGATTCCTGTTATGAGTGAGACCATCCGGTATTTTTCTTTTTCTTTTTGGCTTATTTCGCTGAGCATGATCCCTTCCAGCGCCATCCATGTTGCTGCAAATTGCATGTGTTTATCTTTTTTGAATGCTGAGTAATATTCCATGGTATATATGTACCACATCTTCTTGATCCAGTCATCTACTTTTGGGCATTTGGGTTGTTTCCAAAGCTTAGCTATTGTAAACAGTGCTGCTATAAACATAGGGGTGCAGGTGCTCTTTGGAATTGATGTTTCTGTGTCCTTTGGGTAAATACCTAGGAGTGGAATTGCTGGATCATATGGAAGGTCTATGTTTAGTAGGTCCAGAAATCTCCACACAGCTCTCCATAGTGGTTGGACCAGTTTGCACTCCCACCAACAGTGCAGAAGAGTTCCTTTTTCTCCACACCCTCGCCAACATTTGTTGTTGCTAGTTTTTTTAATATGTGCCATTCTCACTGGTGTGAGATGGTATCTCATGGTAGTTTTGATTTGCATTTCCCTGATTACAAGTGATGTTGAACATTTTTTCATATGTCTGTTGCTGGCTTAAGTATTCTTAACTTGTTTTTCTGAGTGCCAGTAATGAGAATGTTAATAAGAATAACAGCAACGACAACAGGAGATCGTATTTGAACAGCACTAGCTGTGTTGG